AGAGTCGAGAACAGCCAAAGCAATCTTGAAGAAGGAAAACATATCAGAAGGACTTAACATTGGCTAAAATTATGCCTTCCCCTAAAGTTAAAGTAATTAATACAGTGTGTTGTTGGTGGGAGGGTACCAATAGAATCTCCAATATACGTTCACTTGATTTATGACAAGTTTAACAGTACAACACAGCAGAGAAGAGATGGTGTTTTTAGTAAATGATGCTGGATTAGTTGTATATATATATGGAAAAAAAATAATTTCTGTCCCTACTTCATACCATTCACACAAAAACATTTCTAGATGGATTACAGATCCAAATGTGAAAGGTAAGATAAAGCTTTTAAAAGAAAACATTGGAGACCATCTTCATGACCTTAAAATAAGCAAAACACTTTTAAACAGGACACACAAAGCACCTAATTGAACTAAAGTTTAAAATTTCTATTCACCAAAGGATATCACTAAGACAGTAAAAAGGCAAGCCTATAGTGGGAGAATATGTTCATAATTTATAAACCCAACTAAGATCTAGTACTCGAAATGTGTAAATAATACCTGCAAATCCAGAAGAAAAGGCAAAGTTTCTGCAGTCCGTACTTTTAATCACCCTGGTTTGCTCTATTTTGCATCAGTTTTTCTTCCTGTGCTTCTCATAGGTTTTGCTTTCTTTTCTTCTCTTTTTTCCCCACTGCCTACATTCAAATATGAGCTCTATCATTTACTAGCTATTTAACTTTAGAAAAATTCCTTTACTTCTTTATACCCGCATTTCCCTGTCCCCTCACCTGAAACTGGTGATTATTATATTTTCCTCACAGGGTTGTGATTAGAATTAAATGTGTTTATTTGGCAATTGTACTGTGTTGCTATAGATACAAAAATTTTAAATAATATACTAATAAATAGAGATCAACATTATAATAAGCAAACAATTCACTACAAACAAGTAGGCTTTATTCTCAAAATGCAAAGATACTTCATTATTANCAAACAATTCACTACAAACAAGTAGGCTTTATTCTCAAAATGCAAAGATACTTCATTATTAAAAACTTAGGTCTATCATGTAGATATGACTACTGTAAGTTAGGGATAATAATAGTACTTACCTAATTTATTGTAAGAATTAAATAAGAAATTTTATGTAATGGTTTGCTCAGTAACTGGTGAGTAGTAACTTTTGATATATTCTGGCTATTTTTATTCTTAACATTATTATAGATCTTATAGATCATAGGTAAGGTAACATACAAGCATCAAGAGAACAGCTCTTCTTGATTTAAATGTATGAATATTTTAAATTAAATGTAGAGGGAAATTTAATAAGATAAGAATAGCTGTACAGAGATAGCAGGCAATATCACATCCAGCAATGAGACATTAACAATACTATCATTAATCCTGATACCAAGGATAACCTACTATCATAACTATAATTTAACACTATTCTAGGAACTGTTGCTAATTCAATAAGTCAAGAAAAGCATCTAAGACAAAAATATCCAAAAAAAGTAAAATAATTCATTATTTTCTTGTGATACATTTTTATACCTAGAAAACCCAAAAAAGTCAACTAGTAAGTAAATGTAATAAGGTGGCTGCTGATGAAATAAATAGATAAATCAATATCTTGTCCTCTATACCAGCAATACCAGTTGGAAATTAGAATAATAGTTCTTATCTACAGAGCAAGGGAAAATCCTAGTAATGAACGGCACAAGCAACATGCATGGCCTATGAGAAGCAAAAAACAGGAATGGGATGGTAAGGACAGGGATTCATGATAATTTCCTGTATTTTTTCAGTGTTGAAATGCCGGGGACCAGCCCCAGCACAGAGATTGT